TATTCTATTCTATTCTATTCTATTCTATTCTATTCTATTCTATTCTACATCACTGTTTTTCTCAACCTTGGCTGATTGAAGTTGTGTGGACTTCAGCTCCCATAATTCTCCAGCCAGCATGGGAATTCTGGGAGTTGAAGTCCACACATCTTCAAGGGGCCAAGGGTGGGAAACATTGGTCTGTATAAAAAGAATCATAAACAGAATAGAGCTGGAAGGGACCTTGGAGGTCTTCTAGTCCAGCCCTCTGCTCAAGCAGGAGATCTTATACTATTTCAGACAAGTGACTGTCCAGTCTCTTCTTAAAAACCTCCAGGGATGAAGCACCCAGCATGGGGGACAGATGGAGAGAGTCAAACATCATTGCTTATTTTGCCTTCTTCTTCCTTAGCCGATAACATGAAGCAGCCTCAGTCCTTAAAGGGGCAGTGGAAATATCCACACTTCTTTTTCATGGAAAGAGCAATGCATATAGATAGTCCTTAGTTTGCAACCATCCATTTAGAGACCTTTCAAAATTACAAGGGCACTGAAAAAAAAAAAAAGATTTAGGCCTGGCCTTCGTGGTTACAAACATGGTAGCATTCCCACGGTCATAATTCAGGCACTTGGCAACCAGCACCTATTCATGATGGTTGCAGCATCCAGGAACCATGTGATCTCAGTTTGCAACTTTCCCAACCAGCTTCCAACAAGTAACGTTAATGGAGGAAGCCAGACTCACTTAAAGACTATGTGATTCACTTAATGTCTGCAGTGATTCGCTTAACACTTCCTCCACTTACCTGTGAACAACAGTTCACAACAACTTCGGCAAGAGAGGTAGTAAAATCAGGTGTGGCTTACTTAACAACTGCCTTGTTTAGCAGTGGAAATTCTGATCCCTGACTGCGGTCATAAGATGGGGACTATGTATTCGGAATCCATGAACTTTGTTTCCATGGAGAGGAACCTGAGCGGCTCCGCCAGTCCCATCAAACTAGTTTGGTTCTGAAACAGCCATTTGTAAATGATAATGTAATGTTGTAGACCAGGAGTATCAAACTCAAGGCCTGAGGGGCGGATCCGGGCTGCGGGTGCTTAGATCTGACCCACAAGGCCGGCCTAGAAATATCAAAGGACCAGCCTGTGGCGCCTCTGCCAGCCAAAACGGGGCACCGGGGAGGGGCATATGTGGTCCCCCCACACACACAGCCCATTTTCGGCCTACACAGCCTCCTCCAGCACTCTGGCTGAAGATGGACTGTGGGAAGGCCTCGCCCAGCTCCCCGCGGCCTGTTTTCGGCTGGCAGAGTGCTGAGGGGGCTGTGGAGGACAAAATCGGGCCGTGTTGGGGTGGGGGATGTGTGAGGCGTTCCCATGGTCCATTTTCAGCCCGGCAGAGTGCTACAGGAGGCTGTGGAGGTTGAAAACGGGCTGCAGGGAGGGCACAACCACCCCCCGCCATGCCCCATTTTGGCCAGCAAATTACTGGAGGCCGTGGAGGCTGAAAATGGGACACGGCACCCCTGCACCCCATTTTGGCCAGCAGAATGCTGCAGGAGGCTTCCGTCCCGTCCCATCCGTCTCTCCCCTCCCCCACTCCCAGCCAGCGCATGGAGAACTATAATGCTTGATCCTGGAAGAAATCCAGTTTTGACACCCCTGTTGTTGATTAACATGACTACCGTTGAGCACCTTTAATAATGTGTTGCTCATAATACACTGAATTGCATGCGCCGACTGGTGCTTTTTCCGTCATCGCTGGCAGTCCCGACTCTGGATGTGTGTGCTTTTTATATCTGTGATAGTATATACATGACTGACTATTTTATCCCTAGTGATTCAGACGGGGGAATCCAGAGAAAATGCTTGCAGGAAATTACAGAATAAGATGGAGAATCTACAAAACCTTGTGGAAACAATGCAGTTAAAAAACCAAGGTAGGAGAATTTTGGCTTTGCCCTGGCGCATTTAGGATGTCCTGTTGGTATTGCGAGGCAGGAAATCACTTGGAGGAGTTTAAAAACATCTTGATTGGCTTTGTGAGACAAGATAAATTGAAACCAGTGGTGGGATTCAAAATGTTTTATTACCACTTCTGTGGGCGCGGCTTGATGGGCGTGACTTAGTGGGCGTGGCTTGGTGGGCGTGGCGGGGGAAGGATACCGCAAAATCCCCATTCCCTCCCCACCCCACTAACCTGCTTTCCAGTTCCATTCTCCTGTGCAGGGCAACCAAAGGAGACTCAGCTGATAAGCTGGAACTCAGGAGGCAGAGAATAGATGGGTGTGGGCCCAGTCAGAGGTGGGATTTGCCGGTTCTTCAAACTACTCAAAATTTACGCTACCTCAGGGGTGGGATTCAACTGGTGTTACTATCGGTTTGGTGAGAGTGCGTTTTGCTGCGTGCGCGTGTACAGCATTTTCAAAATGGCACCTGGACAGCTGACAAGCTGCACGCGGCTGCGCAGTGTTTGAAAATCCTCTTCTTTCCTGCTTTTTCAACCTCAGCTGTGCCGCACAAAACAGCTGAGGTTGAAAAAGCAGGAAATAAAGGACAGCCAAGAGCCCAGGCGGGTGGGTGGGCCAAGCAGACGACCAAAAGGTCATCGCAGCGAACTGGTTCTGAGTCTGCTGCTCTTCTGAGCTACCGGTTCTATAGAACCGGGCCGAACCAGTGGCATCCCCCTCCTGCGCTACCGGTTCTCCAGGACTGGTCAGAATACCTGCTGAATGACCACCTCTGATGGAAACCCTCCACTTTCTGATGAATTGCCTTTTGCAGCAGCTTTCACCAGGCACAACTACCCTAGGGAAGGCTGGCCCCATCTAATACAGGTGGTCCTTGACTTACAACCATTCATTTAGTGACCATTTGAACTAAAACGGCAGTGAAAAAAGTGACTTAGGACTGTTTTTCACACTTACGATGGTTGCAGCACTCCTGTGATCACACAGTCAAAATCTGGATGCTCAGCAATCATCTCACATTTATGACGGTTGTCGTGTCCTGGGGTCATGTGATCACATTTTACGAACTTCTGACAAACGAAGTCAATGGGGGAAGCCAGATTCATTTAACAATCGTGTTATTAACTTAACTATGGTGATTCACTTAACAACGGTGGCAAGAAAAGTCATAAAATGGGGCAAAGTTTTTTTTAACAAATTTCTCACTTAGCAGCATAAGTTTTGGACTCAGTTGTGGTCGTAAGTCAAGGACTACCTGTACCAGTTTCATTAGTATCCATGGTGCTTTTACAGTACAAATGAACCTAAGGCCACCTCCTAAAATTGCTATTCCCGACCTCTGATAAGAAGGACCACGGTGGCATCTGTCTGTAGCTGACAAAGGTCCACTTCAGAAATGTATTTATATATTACGAGTCCTTTTCTGCCGTATCTCTCACTGGACTCAATTTAAAGCAGGGGTGTCAAACTCAATTTCATTGAGGGCCGCATCGGGGTTGTGTTTGACCTCAGGGGGCAGGGTGGGTGTGGCCAGCTTGATGTCACTCTTGCCTCACAATCAGGAGGCTGTTTGATCCTAGGCAGAGGCAGATACGTCTCTCTCTGGGCACGATGAGAATCTGCTGAATATAACTCCGTATTGGTGACAGGAAGGGCATCCGGCCAGCAAACACTCCGCTCCATTCAGTTGCTCAGACTCCACCCTGCAAGGGATTATGGGATCATTAAAAGAGGACTATAGCCATAGCCTCTTTTATGGAATGCATTGGCCGAGCCAAGAACTGGTTACTCTTGGCAGTCTCCTGGTTTGTAACCTGGTGCCTTAACCACCCCAAGAGCCATTTTTACACAACCTGTGACATGAGAGAAATGCCATTTGTCTTCCAGACCTATGTGGTGTTAACAACCATTCCTTTCCTTCGTTCTCCTTCCAGCAATGTCCACCATGATCAGATGTCAGGAAAAGAAAATAGAGCAAGCCAAGGAAAAAGAGAAGAAGCTCTCCAAATGAATACACGGGCACGGTTTTCAGTCCCTCAAAGAGGTATCCAGATTGCATTTCGACAAATGGAATATTTTTAAGCCTCCGGTTCTTGTTAATAATAAAAGTTGACCTAGTTTTGTAATCTGTCCTTTGGTTTAGGAAAACAAAAACAAAAAACGGACCGAGGCTGTTAGCTTCCCCATGACCTGGAAATGACCCAAAGGCCCCAAGAGAATCCATCCTGTACCATTATGCAGATTTGGAAATAACCCCTGTTCTATGCTATTTCAGGAATGACATACAATTGCAGGGAAGAAGGGCAAGGAATTTGTGACTCTCCAAATTCAGACATTAGTCCCAGCCAGCACGGAGAATTAGCAGATGACAGCATTGAATCTGATGTCATCTAAGTCAGCGGTCGCCAACCAGTGAGCCGGGGGGGGACCACTGGTGGTCCGCGAGAAAATTGTGGTGGTCCGCAGAGAAATATCACCCCCAAAGCATCCCCCCAAAGTAATTAATCCAGGTTGCATGGGAACACAAGGCTGCGCCGCCCACATGGCCCACAGGAACGCAAGGGCTACGTCGCTTGCATTGCAAACAACACGAAGTAGTGAGGGGAGGGGGGAAGGGCGGAGGGGGGAGCTTGCTCCACGCGCCCCACACACCTCACCTAGCCACCAAGTTGCTTCTTTCCGCTTCTTTCTTCTTCTGCTTTTGGCTGCACACAAGGAAAGCAGCAAAAGTCTTCCTTTCTCTCCCCCAAACTCTGCCAGAAATGAGTCTTTGGGGCCCTGCAAGGCGTCCTGCTCTAAGAGGCTGCATCAGCGCAACAAGTCTCACAAAGACTCATTTCTGGCGGAGTTTGGCGGAGAGAAAGAAAGACTTCTGCTGTTTTCCTTGCATGAAGCCAAAAGTCTCTCTCTCTCCCCCAGAACAGAGCTGGAAATGGTATCCTGAGATCCCAAATAAAGAACAATCGATCGGTAGGAAAATGGGGTGGGGAATTTTCCTGCAGACTTTTTGGGGGGATTTTCCCAAGGTCTCTGGTCTGCGGGATTTAAAATTAGGAGTTTGGTGGTCCCTGATATCCAAAAGGTTGGCGAACCCTGATCTAAGTTGCAGGTTCCTTACCTCTGATTGGGAATACTTTTCCCTGCTTCACTCACCAAGTTTACATTTGATCTGGGTTTGTTTTTTTTTCCTCCATTGTGAAATACCTCCTTGCTATACATAGGCACACTCAGTACTTATTCAGACTTCGGACTTTTAGTTAGCTTTCTCAGTGCTTTTATAAACCTCACCTAAGGTAAACAGTGTTCCTTTTTTAGACAGTAGGAGTTCCTTGGACTGCAAAGTGATCAAACCGGTCACTCCTAGAAGAGATCAACCCTGAATCCAAGGTGGTATTCAGCCGGTTCTGACCAATTCTGGAAAACCAGTAGCGGAAATTTTGAGTAGTTGAGAGAACTGGCCAATCCCACCTCTGATTGGCCCCGTCAACCCCATCTATTCTCTGCTTCCCGAGTCCCAGCTGATCGGCTGGGTCTTCTTTGGTTGCCCTGCACAGGAGAACAGAGCTGGGAAGTAGGTTAGTGGGGTGGGGAGGGAAGGGGGATTTTGCAGTATCCTTCCCCTGCCATGCCCACCAAGCCACATCACTAAGCCACACCACGCCTGCCACGCCATGCCCCCAGAACTGGTAGTAAAAAAAAACTGAATACCACCACTGCCCTGACTTCTCTTTAGAAGGCCAGATCCTGAAGATGAAACTCAAAGTCTTTGGCCACCTAATAAGAAGGAAGGACTCCCTGGAGAAGAGCCGAATGCTGGGAATGACTGAGGGAAATAGAAGAAGAAGGGGATGTCAGAGAAGGAGGTGGCTGGAGGGAGTCACTGAAGCAGTCGGCGTGAGCTTAAATGGACTCCGGAGGATGGTAGAGGACAGGAAGGCCTGGAGGAACGTCGTCCATGGGGTCGCAACGGGTCAGACACGGCTTCACAACTAACAACAACAAAAGAGGCCATAGCCTTACCTGTTAGTTCAGTTTCAGGCCAGGAGAACCGTGTCCATCCTAGTTTTCTTGCAAATAATTATGGTGACCTCCCGACAAGTTCCCAATTCAGTATTTCCCCCTCATTTTTATGATTGACTTGTCGTGCAAAAGCAGACCAATGAAAGGCCAGCCACCTGTTCCAACACCAGTGCAGGAAACTTTGCACCAGTAGTTTAAAAATAAGTCCAAAAATGTTGAGCACAATATGATATAGTATATGCGCGCCTCGCCTGCAGACATCTGTCATTGCTATGTTGTATGTGGTGCTTGAAATATTGCATTCAGTTTCAGTTGCCATAATATAAAAAAGATAGAAGTAGAGAGACTCTGGAAAGAGTGCAGAGAGGAGCAACAAAGACGGTTAGAAGACTGTAGGCTAAGATATATGAAGAATGGCTGCAGGAATTGGGTAGATCTAGTCCAGTGGTGGCTAACCTTTTTGGACTCCTGTGCTAAAAATTGTGCGTTCGCATGCACGCTCGCGCTCGTGTGCCAGCACCCAGAAGGCAGTGCGTGCCCCCACACCCCCTAGGCATGCGCGCTCAATCCCTCACCCGCCCACCCACCTGCCGCCCACCCTTACTTGCACTGCACCTCACAGCTGATTTTCGGCCGGTTTGAGGCCTTTTTCGGCCTCCCAAAGGCTTGAGAAAGGCTTCTGGAGGCTTCGTCAAGCCTTTGGGGCTAGTTTTTGGCCTGCAAAGCCTGCAGAAGCCTGCAGAAGCCTTCCTCAAGCCTTTGGGAGGCCAAAAAAGGCCTCAAACCGGCCGAAAATCAGCTGTGAGGCGTGTGCATACACAGTGAGGTAAGTTTGCCTGCAGCTCGTGTGCTGGCACAAACGGCTCTGCATGCCACCTCCAATATCTCAGGGGCTGCCACAAAGAAGAGGAAGTCAACCTATTTTCCAAAGCACCTGAAGGTAGGACAAGAAGCAACAGATGGAGACTAATCAAGGAGAGAAGCAACTTAGAACTCAGGAGAAACTTCCCGACAGAACAATAAACCAGAAGAACAACTTGCTTTCAAAAATTGTGGGTGTTCCAACGCTGGAGATTTTTAAGAAGATATTGGACAATCATTTGTCTGAAATGGTGTAGGGTTTCCTGCTTGAGTAGAGGGTTGGACTAGAAGACCTCTGAGTTCCCTCCCCAACTCTGCTATTCTGTTTGAAATCTTCAGTATTCCCCTTTGCAATGTTAGAACCTTCTTATCCTGAGCATGAGTTAATCACTTGGTAAGATGAAAGCAGGATTAATAACAATTTAAAATGGCAAACGATGCAAAGCAAGCTATGGCATGCCCCTACCGAAAGTCTCAGGGCTGCACCGTTTTGCCCAAGGGCCTATTTTACTCCGGTCCTCCTGCAAAATAATTGAATGCGGTAAGATCAAATTAAATGGGGTGCAGTGTCAGAAGGTACCCCCCAATTCCTCCAACAGTCTAGAGAGCCGTAACCCGGTATCCGTCATGAAAACCGAAGTAAGCTGTGCTATTTAAATTTCTGATGACTCGTACTGAAAATAGGCCACCCAGATTGGAAAGGCTCCGTCAGCATGGATCTGATTATAATATCTCTCTAAGCGATTTAAGTATTCTTTAGATGTGGCAGACACAGATGTTTAATGGCAAGGGCCGTGTTATTATGATGACCCGGGGCATGGCAAAAAAGCAACAAAGTAACAAAAAAAAGGTAAAGTCCCTTTAATTCCTCCAACTTGGCCTTCAATGTCCAGTTATCATCGGCTGGAGAAAAAAAACTCTCCCAAGAACAGTTTTTAAAGGGAAGAAATTCCATCGGAACCCAAAGTACATATAAATTCAACGTAAAAACCAACACAAACCACACTGCGGCAATTAATGAGACAGGGCAGGATAAGGGATTGAGGACGTCAAAAAATAACAAAACACAACACTTGGGAGGACGGCAGAGCTCAGATAAGACTTGACAAATCAAAATAATTTCACGCTTTGCTTCCTGCAACTTTGCCCTGCGCAGTTTGGCCTTTTAAACAGTCTTCCCAGCTGCAGTCAATAAAGGGGATCAGGGCCCTTTCCTCTCCTGTAAACCACACAACTCACGTTGCTCCCTTCTCCTTTGCTCCCTGAGTGCCCTAGGATGAAGAGGGGGTGGGCCTAGGTCTTCCTCTAAATGCCCAGCCGGTCTGTGCCCTTCCCCAGTTTCCTCCACAGCCACCGGAGCCACAGTCCCACTCCCTGTCAGCTGTTCAAACTCCCCCTCGGAATCAGATTCCAACAGGGACATGACAGTTACTTTAGTAGTGAAAGGCAAATGAAAAGGATTTCTGCCAATCAAACCCAGATTCTGTCTTTCAGATGTCTTTTATCCATACGAGCAGGTCTCAACGTTCAACCATTCATTGAGTGACCGTTTGAAATTATAACGGCACAGGAAAAAGTGATCTACGGTTGCTTTTCACACTGATGACCGTTGCAGCATCCCCCCCACCCCGTGGTCAAAATTCAGATGCTTGGCCTCAGGTTTATAATTATGACAGTTGCAGTGTCCTGGGAATCACCTTCTGACAAGCCAAGTCGGTGGGGAAGCCAGATTCACTTAACAACCATGTTACTGACTTAACAACCATAGGGATTAACTTAACCGCCGTGGCAAGGAAAGGTTGTAAAACGGCACAAAACTCCCTTCACAGCTGTCTCGCAACTGCCTTGCTTAACAAAGGAAATTTTGGGCTCGATTGTGGTTGCAAATCAAGGACTACCTCCATTTAGAATTAGAACTGGAAGGGACCTTGGAGGTCTTCTAGTCCAGCCCCCTGCTCTAGCAGGAGAACCTATACTATTTCAGATAAGCGGCTGTATAGTTTCTTCTTAAAAACCTCCAGTGATGGAGCGCCCACGATTTCTGAAGTCAAGCTGTTCCATATTGGTTAATTGTCTTCATGTTGTGGCCTGTTGGCCCCTGGCCTCTCCAGCAGCCAAATCAGAGGAGGAGGAGGAGGAGGAGGAGGAGGAGGAGAAGGAGGAGGCAGCATGGGAGTCTGAGTCAGCATCAAGTCAACCTGAGAGTTCCGAGGTGGAAGAGAGAATGGAGCTGGCAGAGAGAGAGGGGTGAGGGAGGGAGAGAGGGAAGGAGGGAGGGAGGGAGAGACGGAGTCTGGTCTGTCCACCAACCTTCAGATGGAGAATCAACAGCTCCCAGGTCTGGATGTGGCTGATAAGGAAGAGGAGGAACAGCTGGGTCCAGTGCCTGACGCGTGGATGTGCAGAGGGCAGAGGAGAGGAGAGCAGTGGAAATCTATGGGCCGGTCCTTGGGACGGAAGAACCACGGCTGCTCGCAAAGCCCCACCTGAGCTCTGGGGATAAAAGGCAGGGGGCGGAGATGAATAGATGTGACATACAACTATTCATCTCCCTGCCAGATGGACTTGTTAGCCTTTAGTGTGAGAGAAAATTTTTGCCTGGGCTGCCGGCGCTCCTAATAAAGGAATCATTGCTTCAATTACAAAGAATTTGTTGTATTTGGGGAGCTGGGTCAGAACACCTGTTAGGATTCATCATCCCATATAAAGAAAATGTGCATCCTATAATTACTCTCAGCACACACAAAAGAGCCCGTTTGGTTTCCAACAGAGAAATTGTCTTGCTGAAAGAGAGAGCAGACGCTCCTTCTACTACTTTCCTGTTATAAGGGAAGCCTCCTAGTTAAAAAATGACCCCCTGGCACAGAGTAGCTCTTGTTCAAACTAAACCAGGGATCCTTGACCTCACTGTTGATCGGGCTGGCTCTCTCTGCCGTTATATTAATCATTGCTTGAACAGGAATCCATCAGCTGGAAATGGTTATTCCATGCTAACAATAGTATTTGTGCTTTTTGAGCATTCTTTTCCCATTTTGAGGGAGGCTTCATTGAGAAAATAATGCACCGGCACTTTATTAATAAGCAAAACACAAGAAACCATTTGGCTTCCCTCTTGTTGTTCAGCTCTGCTTCGTAGAATCTCATGGCACATTTGTTGTGGCTCACCAGTGGATCTGGCAGATTTGGACTGTGAGGAGGTTGGGGAGGAACATAGGCCAGTCCTGGAGTCTGGGGAAGGCTCTGACGAGGGCTCTGCATCGGAGGCAGAGATGGGGCCAGGGCTGTCCAATAGTTATCAGCTGCCTTCGGAGTTGGAGATCAGTGGGGCAGAAGAACAGTTGGAGCCTGCTTCTGATACGCGCATGCAGAGAACTGCCGAGAGAAGGGAACAGCTGAAGAACAAGGGTCAAGGCACAGGTGGAACGGTGAATGGCCCCTCCCATAGGGAATAAAGAGGAGCGAAAGGGGAGTGGTGTTTGCAGGAGGCAATCAGTTCGTCTAATTAGTGTAAAGATTTGTTCCTGCCTCTCAGACACTCCTTGCCAAGTATTTTCTTGTACAGCATTGCGCTTGGAAGCAATCGGCCTGGCAACAAGTCACATTAGTTACTCTTTAGAAAGAGTACAAAGAAGAGCAATGAAGATTATCAGGGAATTGGAGGCTAAGATATACAATGAATGGTTGTGGAAACTGGGTATGTCTAGTCTAACAAAAGGGCTAGGGATGACTAGACAGGAGTCTTCCAATAAATGGGGTGCAGTCACAGGGAAAAGGGGGCCTACAAAGCCCCTAAGACTGGACAACCACTTGTTTGGAATGGTATGAATCTCCTGCAAGGGTTGGACTAGAAGACCTCCAAGGCCCAACTGTGTAATTCTATCATTCTGACATAATATTCTGTGGCTTTATGGTTATTGGACATAAAATAGTACTGTAATATACTTCACGGAATGCAGAAAAGCAGCAAAACAGGGACAAGATTAAGAAAAACTAAATCATAATTCAGAGAAAGAACTGTTTAGTGTTAATAACTGCCAAACTGGATTTGGTTTATTGCTTAAAACAACTAATCAGGAATTTCAAGTAAGGCCTAGTTTAGTTTGGCAATTGTATTATTATTATTATTATATTAATTATTTTTAATTATTATTATTATTATTATTATTATTATTATTATTATTCACAAAAACGATAGTGTACACAGCAAATGAGATAACTATGTTGGGTTTCGTATCACAAATCACTAGTCGAACACTTCCCAAGTGATTACTATTATTTATTTAAAATAGCAATTTCAGGGAAGTGATTTCAATCATTCAAATAGTTCCCATCTGTGTCAATTCAAACAGGTATGAAGATCATATAATTACTAAATACATATATAGAATCTTAGTTTTCTTCCAAAGTGCAAGTCATTTAGGATCAATTTAAGCTTTTTAACTTACACTGAAGTGAAGGAAGCTTTTTCCCTTTGTATTTTGGAGAGGACATGGATCCATTATAATTATTAATGGTAAACTAATATACTTGTACAGATAATGCATTAGCCAAGTTATTTTTAGAAATTCAGTGTTTATTTTAAAAATACATCCAGGTTAACTTTAACTTTATTACAGTGTTTCTGTAATTGTAATAACATTGTTTAACTTCTATTACAGTATTTTTGCCTAATCATCATCCTAACCTTTTCAATAAGCAGAAACTGGCAACCCTGTTATGAAAAATATTAAAACAGTGGGAGCTTAATTTTCTGCCTCTTTTTATACGTGCTCTATTTTAATGAATTAATATCATGCCTAAGACTGTGCTGGGCACAGGGCAGACATGGCAAAAGGGCAGCTTTTCAAAATCAAACGAGTTGCACATATATGTGCCCTCCAGCGATGCTTAGGAGGGTCTCCCAGATAAAATGCACCCAAATCAAGACCACTCCTTATTTAGCACCCAAAATATAAAAACCAGCCATCTTCAACTTGGAAACCAGTACTGGACTTTGTGCTTGAGGTGGGGAAAATATGAAACTTTGATGTTGATTTTTGCTGATTTGATATGTTTACTGTTATAGAAATGGCTGGTATATATTATAAGAGTCAAAAGTTGAGGTTTTATGTTACTAAATTATTCTACTGCACCAAAAGGAGTCTAAAGTCAATGCTTTCCCTTTCCCTTTTTCCCTACACTTTTTTCTCCTTTCCCTCCCTTACTTACTCATTATCCTCATTTTGTTTGTATTACATATTTGTTGAATCCCAATAAAGGCTTCTGCGTATATGCCAACCATCACTGTAAAAAGTCCATCTTTATTGCTTTCGGATGCAGACATCATAAACTAACAATGTTTTAGAACAGTTACAGAGCAGTCGAACTATCATTTTCTTATGTCCAGCGTCCCTGATTCACACACCTGTCTCTTCACACAATACAATGTCCACTTGGGAGTTAAAAGTGTTTTATTCTGAAACATCGGCCACTACAGCACCTAACTTGTTTGCTATTAAGGAGTTCTTGGGTTTGATTTCATTTGAAAAACTCGTTTCTAACTTGAAGCCCAGCCTAGCGGAAGAAAGATTCGACTATGAGGCAGTACTAGTAAAACAACACAGCAAGGAGGAGCACTAAGATAGGTAAGTAAAGACAGAGAGATATACTCCTTGTGTTCAGTGGTACCCCCAGGACTTATGGGCCACCTGATCTTCGTGTTCAGTTACTAGCCTTCGGTTGGAGCACTCTTCCCATCGCACCACCTTGCCACTCTCCAACAAGACAAACTTCCACTCAACGCTGGTATCAAACGGTAGAACCACAGAGTCTGACCAGAAGCCATCTTTGTCACACCGGAGGGGTATGTAATGGCGCCACTGGCCCAGACACTCGTGGTCCCCTGTGATCGCGATCTGCTGGGCTTCCAAATGAGTGATGTAGTGGACACGGAAGACCACATGGACAGTCTGAGGCATGGGAGGCACAGCCGCGATTCTCTTCCCTTGTTCCGAGTCCTTGTTGCCAACGTCATCTGTGGGAGGTTTCCAGGTGGCCTCAGCATCTTCAGGATCTGGAGTTTCTGGACCCAGGTCTTGGTTGAGTTTCTCCTCAGTCTTATCACCAGAGCTGCCTACTTGGGCTGACGTTCTCTCCTCCCGGCGTTCCACTTCATGGCTTTGGGGCAGTTTGGAGGCTGTCTTGGGGGGACTGGGTGCTTCGCTCCTGAGATATTCGGAGCAGTTCATGAATGGGATTATAGGTTCTTTGACCTCTACTTCTAATTCAGGAGGCTGTACGAAACCGTCAGGGGTATGATGATGTCCGGAGAGTGTAACATGGTTTTCCAATGGCTCTTGTGGGCTGGACATACATGCTGGTTTTGTTTCTGAAAGGACACCATCACCGGTTCTCTGAAATGGTTCTAAATAGAAAGGGTATTGTTAGCCAGGAAAACTCAGTCCTCCATTCCTTGTACATGTAATTTTGAACACCACCACCACACCTTGACTTTTTAATGCGAGAAAAAAGTCCTGATGATTTAATCCCACACAAATTGTATTTGCTTTCCTGACACTGAGTTCCTCAATAAATAAAAAAAAAGGCTTTTGCGCTCAGTGGCAATTCGGATCAACAAGAGTTTCATGTCTAGCATCAAAATCCGCAGCGGGATTCCCTATCTCAGTGGTCCCCAACCTTTTTTGTGCCGCGGCCCGGTATCGGCATCACAAAATCATCCGCGGCCCGGTACCGGCATCAGCACGCACGGCAAGGCGAGCCGAGCGACTGGCCAGCCAGCTGTCCCCCGCTTCTCCCCGCCACCTTCAACTCCTCCTTTGTACCTGTGTCGATGGGCTTCGCGACGGCTTCGGGACGGTCGCTCGGCTCGCCTTGCCATGCATGCTGAAAGAATCCTCGTGCCTTAGTTTTGTTCGAATGAAACAATGAAACTAAGGCGCGAGGATTCTTTCAGCACCCAAATGCCACTTTCTACCCGGAAAAGCTCATCGGAAGCACTTTTTCATCAAAACAAGATGGCGGCGCCCAGCAAACCAACGGCCTGGTAGAAATTGTTCCACAGACCGGTACTGGTCCCCGGACCGGTGGTTGGAGACCCCTGCCCTATCTTATTTTCAGCACCTTTTGATCTTTTTAAAAAAATCAGTGGAATATAAATGTGCTGTAAATGCTAGGGCGAATCCCAAAGGCAGATGGACTTTCTTGGTTTTCTTTTTGAAAACATTTCGCTTCTCATCCAAGAAGCTTCTTTGCTTCATTGAAGAAGCTTCTTGGGTAAGAAGTGAAACATTTTCAAAGGAAAAAGAAAAATCAAGAAAGTCCAGTTACCTTTTTGAAAAAGCACCTTTGGGACAACCATGATCTGGATGACTGAGCCTCTCCATAGACAGCTAACATGAATAATAATACAAAAAAGCTAGAATGATGTTTGTATGATATAAGAATACATTATATATTAAAAGGATGTAAGCTTGAATTAAAGTGCTTGGAAACTGTTTCCAGATAAGATATTTCTTGACTGCACATTAGTGAGCAAGCAGTAGCAATTCACTGCTATTTCCTGGATCTGATTAAAACTGTAAGATGAAAATTAGACCAGCATACAGAAGGAAAGCTGCAAAAATAGTATAGCAAATGCCATCAGCCCTCGCAAAGAGCTGTTATAGTTCCACACCTTCCTTTCTGGACTGTTCCTGCTCGAGTCAAATGCCAGACTGTACTCCAAGCCAGCTGGCAAAGGAGAACCTATTGTGAAGTTAAGGCTTCACCATAGCTGAAATGCTAAGAAATTGTTGTCCATTGTTTAATTAGATCCCACCCTTCTTTTTCCCTTTCACCAAGTTGGTCCAAATGACAAGCTTAGCCATGGCAAAAATAATAATAAAAATGCAAGCAATTCAATCACAAGCAATTATTATCTTTACTGAAGAGTTATTTTCAGCAGTTATTTTCCAGTTCTGGTTTTCCCCTGGCTGAATTTATTTTTAACTTTGCAATAAGAGTTTTCTTCCGCTGTACTCTTGCAATTGATTGATTTGGGCTCTGTTAAATTTTAAGAGCAAAGGCTCGGCCGTGAATAAGCATAACGGTTAGCAGGGCAGTGGCACAAGGGAGCTAAAAATAGCCGAAGGCCGGTTTTGCATGGCCTGTCCATATATTAGGCAAACACAGGCCCAAATGCCAAGGATTCCTGTGGGGCCTGTAGAACCGATGGCAGGCCGGGCACCGCAATCCATGCAAAGGTCGCACAGTCCAAGATGATACTTTGCATAGTTGCCCTTCTATAGCTACAAGAATCCTGCCAAGGTGCCGCTGAATTGGCTGGCCAAAGGCATTCTAGCTGTCCGATTCAGTGCCAGCCACCATCCAATCTTCTTTGATGGCCAAGAGCAAGCAATATCTCATGCTCTAAAAACAAGGGTGTCCAAGCTTGGCTACTTTTAAAACCTTTGGATTTCAACTCCCCGAATTCCCCAGCCGGGGAACTCTGGGAGTTGAAGTCCACAAGTCTTAAAGTTGCCATGCTTGGATACCCCTGCTATAAAAGCTACTGCCCAAATATCTGCCTGCAACTTTTCTCATTCTTTCCCACACCAATTTTCTATGAATCGCCAGCCGCAGCTTAGCCCCAGGCACGTCCCCAATATTATCCTCAGCAAAGGACTGATGGGTTTGGGTGTCCCTTCCCCCCCCCCAAAAAAAAGCACTCAAGAAGGAAGATGGACAGTTGTGAAGGAATAGAGGAGGGTGCAAGGAGAAATATAATAGGAGCCTGCAAAGTTGCACAAGAGTAGGTTGTGTAGCTCTCTGTGGACGTGCACAAACTGAGCACTGCAAGGCCTGGATGAGCCAACATGGTTTTGGATAGAGTCCCACGGTGATTAATAAGGCCATCACCTTTCATATACTGTACCAGTTAACTATTATGAAATATATTGAGGAACTAACTTTACAGAAGTTAAGTTTGCCCTCTGGGGCTGCGTTGATTTGATTACCAAGAAATTTCGACAGAAATTTCCCCATCCTACTCCCTCCCTGCATTTAAAAATGGATGCTTAAAATGTTTAATAGCAATAGCACTTAGACTTACAGATTATACAGATGAACAGAATTGGAAGGGACCTTGGAGGTCATCTAGTCCACCTAGTCCACCCACCCCAAAGCAGGAGACCTTACTCCATTTGTGACAGATGGCAGTCCAGCTTCTTCTTGAAAGCCTCCTGTGAGGAAGCGCCCACAACTTCAGAAGGCAACTTCTGTTCCATTGCATACCGCTTATTCTGGCTGCATTCATACAAGGCACTGGGGACGGAATTAATCCTAAACGGGCTGGGATTGTGCCACACACTCACACTCACATCCCACCACACACACCCATGCCAAGGTTAGCACTAATATTTCTAGCAGGGATTTTTCCCCCGACCCGGTTGGAAGGGTGTGTGGGGGGGGTTGTCGTGTGAAAGAGGCCTTCGTGCCTCTCCAAGGCGAAAGAGAGGCGAGTGACCCCACCGCCACACAACTGGGGGAGAGGGGGCAGTAAACTTAAAGAACCAAATTGTGGTCCAAGGCTGGTCAGAGCGAGAGGGCAGCAAGGGCAAAGGCGGGCTGAAGGGAGGCCGGAGCCCGCCCGAAAGAGGCCCGCAGCAGGGCGCGCGTCCCTCTCCAAGGCGCCACAGACGCGTAAAAAGCGCCGGCGGTTCTGGCGAGCAAGCCGTTTCTGGAAACGCCGACAAAGAGTTGCGGGCGCTCCCCTCCCTGGAGGGTTTTCAGAAACAGGCACCCGAGAACCATTTGAACGGCATGGTGTATGTAAGGTCTCCTGCCTCGAGCAGTGGGTTGGACTAGAAGACCTTCGAGGTCCCCTTCCAGCTCTACGAGTCCTTGTTCTAGGCTAGCCCCGAAGAAGCGGGGTGGCAGAAAGGGAACGGGCTCCAGCGGGCGAGAAGCGGCGAGGGAGGAAGGGTGAAGGAGAAAGGCAGGAGTTGAGAGGAAGGGAGGAAAGAAGGAAAAAAAGAAAGGAAGGAAAGGAGGGAGGGAGGGAGGAAAAAGGAAAGAAGGAAGCGAGGGAGGGAGGAAGAAGGGAAGAAAAAGGGGAGGGAGGAAAGAAAGAAGGAAAAATGGGAGGGGGGAAAAGGAAAGAAGGAAGCGAGGGAGGGAGGGAGGAAAAAGGGAGGGAGGAAAGAAAGAAGGAAAAAAGAAAGGGAGGGAGGAAAAAGGGAGGGGGGAGGAAAGAAAGAAAGAGGGAGGAAGGAAGGAAGGAAAGGAGGGAGGAAAAGAAGGAAGGAAAGGAAGGAAGGAGAAAAATGACGTGAGAGAGGTTGGGGGAAGAAAAGAAAGGAAGAAAAAAAGAAGGAAAGAAGGAAAGGAAGGAAAAAAGTAAGAGAGGGAGGAAAAAAGGGAGCGGAGGAAAGGAAGGAAAGAAGGAGGGGGCGGGCAGACAGGCAGATGGTCGGTACCTTTGGACTCCTCAGCCGTTTTCTGTTGCCCGTCTCCGTCGCCGCCGCCGCCACCACCGGCCCCGAACCACAGCCAGGTCATGAAGGCGGCCGCCACCGCGGCCAGCAAGGCCTGCCACACCCCGGCCAGGAGCCCGCCGTCTTCGCCCTCTACCCCCATCCACGCCATGACCACGGCGGCCGGAGCAGCAGGAGGAGGATCAGCAACCGGCGCTCGGGGCGCAGCGCGGAGCCCGAGCGAAGCAAGGGCCGCGCCCTCCCGCCCAGGAGCCTTATATGGGCACCGGGAACGAGGCAGGCACCTGCCTATAGGGCCGGGGAGGAGCCTCGCGGCCTGTCGGGCTCGCTGACCCAACGAGAGGAGCAGCCCAAGTTGCCCGGCATCCCAACTTTGCGCTCCGATCAGAGCGCAAACTTGGGATGCCGGCGGGCTTGCTCCCCGCCTTCGCCTTTCCTTGCAGCCCCAAAGCGAAAGCAACCAAGAAAGGACCTTTTATCCTGTTGCGAGCCGTATAAGGACGGGGCGCGCTTCCTTCCCAGCGATCCTGCCCGTCGAAGAGGAGAAGGGAAAGCCGCGCGGGGGTAAATGCCACGCGCAAACCTGCCCTCCCCTCCCAAAAAAAATTTAAAGCGAGGGCGGCGGGGGAAAAAAATAAAGAAAAATCCCTGCCGCCGAGGCAGAAGAGCGCCATTGGAAAGCCTCGAGAAGGAAACTTGGCGTTGTTGGCGGACAACATTGGGAGGCGCGGAGAGCAAGAGGTGGTTCCCGAAGGCGGAGGGGCTTTAATGCCGCTTAAAGGGGCCCGCGGAAGGTGCAGAAAGCAGAGCGGCTTCCTCCCGGGAAGGAGGCTTAGGTTAGCCCAGAGTTGAAGAAGAGTAAAAGGCTAGAAAAATTGAATAGAGCTGGAAGGGACCTTGGAGGTCTTCTAGTCTAGCCGCCTCCTCAAGCAGGAGAACCTATACTATTTCAGACAACTGACTGTCTCTAGAGCAGGGCTCTCCAGAACCTTGGCCACTGGAAGACTTGTGGACTTCAACTCCCAGAATTCCTCAGCCACTTGAAGACTTGTGGACTTCAACTC